TGAGCCACTCCTTTGTTGCCTTGGCGGTATGTTTTGGGTCATTGTAATCCTTGAAGACTTATCCATGACCCATCTTCAGTGTTCTGGCTGAGGGAAGGTGGTTCTCGTCCAAGATTTTACAGTACATGGCCCCTTCCATTTACCCCTCAATGCGGAGAAGTCGTCCTGTACCCTTAGCAGAAAAACAGCTCCAAAGCATAATGTTTTCACCTCCGTGCTTGACTGTAGGGATGGTGTGCAGATCTACAATCTTGTTTCTGACATGCTTTAACAGCTCTTTGGTCTTGCCCACGGTGGTGGGAGAGGTTGGAATGGAAGATACAGATTGTGTGGAAAGGTGTCTTATACACCTAACGAGCTGACATTAGGAGTAACTTCTTAACCCCCTGGGGTCGAAGCCCGCACCAGTGCGGTCTGTCTTGTATTTTCTTGATGACCGCGAAAAGAACTCATTTTAACATTTTTGATCGTACAGATAAAAATAAGGTATCGTTTGAAACCGCAAAGGGTCTACTTTTATTTGTGTATAGTCATAATAACAACAAAACAATGTGCTTTTGTAAAATAAAGAAAATAAACAGGGTGTGTTCTCTGCCATCTCGGTCTCTGTCACCTTTCTTCACAGACACGTAAATAAAACAACCTGAATCTCCGCGAATACTTGCCTCAAAGACATGAGAAATATATGTATAGAAAGCTTGAAATGTCTACTTTTAAATTAAAGCAAGTTACGTCCAAAACAAATATTCTGTGATAAAGTAATCCGTATGAAACCAACACGATGTCCAGTTTTCCCGTCTCAACTCATTATCTCTAATACGATCACGCCCACAAGTCGATCGCGCTTTTCAAATTCTAAACATCCACGTGAGATGCGCACGCATGCAAACGCCCACATCATCTGTATACAAACGTTAAGAGTTCATCTTGGCTACTTTTTGTTTCTGGAAGAAGACGCGCTGAGAGGAATAACCCAGAATTTACCTCAGAAGAAGAACACAATGCTATGCGTCACACAGCTTGATCCAGTGGAGAATATCATTCTAAAGAGTAGCCTAAGATTACTTGCATCTGTTGGTATTGTGTTATTGTGACATGACTTGTTCACATTTTACTAGTTAGACTTTTCCCAAACTATAATTCCTGACTACATGTATGAAATCAAGTGAAACATTTTGAAATATGTGTCATTTCATTGTCTAAATGTCTCACAATGCCAGGATGTGTTTAATGTTTTATAACACATATAAAACCACAAGATATAAAAGTAGTGTTAACACTATGA